CACAAAGAAAGCGTGCCACTCCGCCCTATTGTTTCAGGCGTGCCACTTCGCCCTTTTATTTCATGTGAAGGACCCATTGACAATCTCTCCCACTCTATCACGGGATATATCCAACCACTAGCAGAAATGGTTTCCGTCACAGAGCTTCTACATCAACTGAGCGAGCGAGAAATGCCACACAAAGACTACTGGTTAGTCACAGCTGACGTCACATCACAATACACAAATATTCCACAAGAAGAAAGAATAAAAGCAGCGGAACACACTTCACCATACATAAAAACTTTAAATACCTAGCAGACGTTCCTCCAGCTGCTCCAGTCTCCCATTTGGTCAGAATAATCTGAACCATTCTTGAGAATAGCACATTTAACTTTGAAGATAGGCATCACCACCAAATATCAGGTACATCAATGGGGATAAAGATGGCTCCGCCATATGCTAATCTATTTATGGGTAGGATCGATGAAACCATCTCCTTAAAATTCCAAATGTTGATAAAATTTAGCAAAAAATTTATCGATGACATTTTTTTTACCTTCTCTGGAACGGAGGCACTTAGAAGAGGTAAAAGAATTCATGAACAGCATCGACGACAATATCAAGTTCACCGTCAATGCTTCAAAGAACACTATATAGTTGATGGACCTCAACCTATACAAAAATGAGGACGGCGATCTCTCGACAAACCTTTATAAAAAACCCACAAACACCAAAAACCTTCTCCACTTCCAGACTAACCACCCGAGACATCAGAAAAAAGGGTTTCATTTAAGGACAGCACTTAGATTAAACAGGCTTGTCACCAGCAACACTGTTCTGTTGGATGAACTAAAGAGCTAAGCAAAAAACATATTTATTAAAGGATAGCCTCTAAATAGAATCACAAAATAATCAATGCACTTAAAAAAACACAAGAGGAACTACTAACGATGAGAGACGAAAACACTACAGAGGAAATCGTAACAAAAGACTACACCAGCAATTTTTTACCAATTGTTATGCCAAACAACAAAACAGAAATGGAGTTTGGTGAAACGATACTCAAACATTGGAGAACCATCAAAAATAATGTAAAACTAAAAAAAGTCTTCCCCAAAAAACCGAAAAAAGTGTTTACAAACAAAACATCTTTAAAAGACCAACTAATATTTACCAGGTTTATAAACGCTAACAGACAAACATTAATCGATGACACAATCGTCAGCATACTAATGGAGCTAGCGAACGAACAAACGTAGATGGGCTCAGCGAACTTAAATATGCAAACGCAATTTTTTGTAAAAATCATTTTTTTGTATTTTTTACCTGCACAAAATCTCGACATGTACTGATGCGCTTAGAGAATTACTCAAAAGTTGAGGTGTCTGATCGCGAAAAATAGTAACATTACTAAATTGAAATTAAAAAACTAATCTAATGTATAATGCTAAACACTTATAGTTAGGTAAAAGAGAACCCAATCCACAATCGGGTGGACCATAATAAAGTAAACAAAAGATCCTACACTGATTTAGAGAAAGAGGAAATCACCTTCTTCAAGAGAATTTTTATAAATTGAAAGATGAAAAGGAGAGAAACAATAAGGAAAAAATTAAAAAGGAGGAGGAAAAAATGTTTGAAGAACTCTCTAAAAGTCTACTAGCGAAACCCCCCCACCCTATGACACCCCTATGTAAAATACGTTATGATTTTTATAATGTACCTTTAATATTTGAAATATAACTTAAAAACAACACACACTCTACTGGTCATAATTTTTGGGTTAAAAACATAGTTATACTATAAATAAAAACTGGGCGTTAAATCGACATTAATTTCACGCATATGTTTAATTGTAAAATCCACTTCTTGGTTGCTTTGTATCTTCTAGACATTTGTCCACATTTGCGTAAACATCTTAGTAACTCTGATAGTTCTCTGAGGCTGAACGAGTTCAGCTTGCATATCGGATAGTCAGGCTTTGTCTGAACGTCCTCATTATTCATATTTTAGTGTTCAAAAATTATGACCATATAAAGTTTGAACCCTCGTCAATTTGATTGAAATACAAACTTTATATGGTCATACTTTTTGAACGCTAATATACTTTACTATGAAATTTAAACTTCTTTGATGAATATAAGTCTAGTTAAAAATAACACAAAAAATATTTAATCAACTTGTTGCTCTTACGTTTGGTGCAGGGAGGGGGCTAAGATTTTAGGGTTTCTTGCTCTCATTCTCCTAAGTACTTACGATCTCATTGGAGAGCACCGCAGAAGAGCATTTAATCGATTTTATGTTTAACGTTTACGCTTCTTTCCTAACCTATGTTGCAAAACTTGCCCAGAGGTGGGGTTCGGACCACAAATACTTTGTTTCTGAGACAAGTGCGCTCCACTGCGCCACGACTGCTTAATTATTAAAAACTTATTTATACAGGATGAATATTTCAGCAAAAACTGTTTAGCTGAAATGTTCATTCTGTATAAATATTTTTTAATAATTAAATATGCATTAATTTTAGACATGTTTTGATATCAAAACATGTCTAAAATTAATGCATTTCTAAAATAAAAAAAAAATAAAAAAAAATTATTTTTAAGTTTACAAATATATTAGGTTTTTTTTAAATAGTCTATGGCGTTGCCTCAATATATTTTAACAGTAAAATGAAAACCTAAATAACATTACTATAAATGGCTTTTGTGATGCTAAAAATAGAGAGTATGGAGTTGCACTTTTTTTTAATTTGTCTGAATAGAAAAATAATAAATCAATTTATGAATCTCAATTTAGAAACTATAAACTCCAGGAGAAATAGAGTGGACGTTTTATTATGACAAAAAATAATTATACTAACAGAAACCAATTTGGTCGAACCATATTAAGTCTGTCAAATCGGCCTACACTATATTTACTATTATAGAAACAGAAGTAACAGTTTATCAATTGTGCGGCCGTGGAGCAGTCGTAACAGCGCTTGCTTTATAAGCAGGAGATCCAGGTTTGAAACGAGTTCTGGACATATTTTCGCGCCACGGTTAGGAAGGAGGCGTGAACTTCCTGGTTAAATGCACTTCCACGGTGTTTTGCTATCCTGCAAAACTGTCCTCAAACATTATATGAAGATCAAAAAAAAAAAAAAGTAAATGAAGTTATTTACTCCAGTAGTTTAAATATGCGAAATATAATTAGTATTAAGGATACCAACTTATTGCACTAAGAAGCTGTCAATAAAGTACGGGGAGCAGACATGATAAAGAGTTACAGAAGCATTGGATGATTTTTTTGGCGTTTCAGATACTTTCAGGTATTGCGTGAACTGCAAACTTAAGTATCTTACTTGAGTCAAATGAGAATTTGAATTGGCATTGAAAATGCCAATTTTCAGATTTTCAGAAAAGAATATTTCAGATAATTCAGAAAAGAATTGGCATTGAAAATGCTAATTTTTGTATCCGCAAATACGTCAAATAAACAAAAACAAAATAAAGTTACATTTACTAAACGCCTCCTATCATCAAACAATCAATTAGCGTTTCAAAATGAACTAGGAAATATAGACCGGTCACCATTAGAATGATTCAATGATGCAAATTCCATGTTTAATAATTTCCATCACATTTTTTTAAACTTGTATGAAAAACACTTCCCTGAGAAAGAAGTAACAATTAAAATTAAAAACTTATATTCACCATGGTTTAGTAAAGGGTTAAAAAAATCTTCGAAGCGAAAACATCGACTGCACGATAGAATGTTTTGAAAAAACTCGCAGTGATGAAGCCTGGGAACAAAACCGCTTCAAAAAGTTTCTCCCAATAATGTGAGGTTATTAAGTAAATAAAATATAAGTATTAGCATATTAAAATTAGTTTCATCGACAGGTTTTAAGTTTTATGTAATAGTCTTTTAAAGTTCAAAGTTATGATGATTCACAAAATGGGGTTGTAAATTTTACAAGGTGAAAACTTTGGAACACTAAAAGAGTTTTAGATGAAATAAAAAATTTGTCAATAAATTTAAGGTTAGTTTAATACGCAAAGACTTATATATAAGGGTAGGTGGAGCAAACTTTTTGGAGCATTTTTGTTCTCAGAATTCAACTACTGCAAAACATTCTCATTAGAAATAAGTATAAACATACTTTAATTTGGAGTTTACACATTACCTGAAGGCGTCATATTATAAAGATATCTTATCATGAAGGTGTCATAACATGAAGTTATTATATCATAACCCAGCGGGCATTTATTTTTTAAAGTTACGTTTTAAATGTATTTTAAATGTCTTTAAAACATTCTTACGTAAAGAACGTTTAAAAGACGTTTAAAATACTTTTAAAACGTAACTTTTAAACGTAATTTAAACTTTAAAACGTACATTTAAAGCGTAACTAAAACTAATGCCCGTAGGGAAAGGTGACATATCATGAAAGTTTTTAAAATCATAAAACCATCAAGGTGTAGTATCAGAAGCATCCTGCTTATGCTACTGTACATTATCCTTTATCCTTTCTATTCATTTGCTTTATTTTTTAAAAAATTTGAAGATTGTTTCAAAAAAAGAACGCGTTAGATCTCTGCCGTAGAAAAATCAGATATTCTTACCTACTTGTAGCAACATGGCGTACCTGTAAATGATTATAGTATAAATCAATTTAGTCAGGTTTAAGCATAAAATAATCCCTAGAAACCAATTGCAATCATGTCGTACTAAAATTGCAGTGTTTAATATTTATTTATTAACATATGCAAAAGTAAAACCAACACATAGAATTTAAATTTAATAAGTAAAAAACAATAAGATCTTTTTTTTTTTTTTTTTTAAAAAAAAAAATTGCCTAAAAGTTGCAATAAAGTTATTATTCCAACGGCCGATACATGTCGTTAAACACACGATATATCATGTATTCCAACAATAAATTGTAATAAATTGTATCCCAACGGTCGAAATTTTACATCATGTATTTAACACATTTTTACAAATACTTTAAATTCAAGAAATTAAATAGGAAATTATTTTCCCCAGAATTTTATTACGTTAAACTTCTTGCTCTTTTAAATATGTTTTCTTAAATAAGCTTACAAAAATTTTAACTACAAATTTATGTAAGTTGCAAAAAAACATACAAAGAAAAAAAAAAAAATTTAATTGCCATAACAACCACTATTGATAAATCACAAAATAAACTCATGGTTTTGAAAAAATAAAATAAAATTTAACTCTCCATGATAGTTTGAAAAATGATAACTGTAAACTTATGTATGATACAAAGGTATTGTTAAACATTTGTTTTTTCATGTTATATTACCACAAAACATCCTGATTAATTCGCTGCTGGATTGGTCTAAAATTATCACACATTAGATCACCTTGAGGATTTGAGCGAAGTTTTCGTAATGTTTGTAACTAAATATAACACATTTTCTTTAACAACAAATTATTTTAAAATAATTAATCTATTATAATCTATTACTATCATTTGTTTGAGCCTATTATTAGAAATTGTTGAATATAGTATTTTAATTATTTATAACTTATTTGCAATTAAGCGATCAATTTATTTAAACACATATATTTTATTTTTTATAATTTGTATAAACTATTTAGTTAAAAAAGTCATTAATATAATAAAATTTTACTTAAGGGAATAAAAAAATAAAAAAATAAATAAAAAATACTCACAAATGTAGAAGGTACTTTAAGTTGGCCACTGTCAGGCAAAACAAACCAATCTGCAGAAGCAAGGCAGGGGGGAGTTGATATTAAACCACTATATTTATAAAAAAGAGAATGTCCCAGTTTAATATCATCTGGTAGAAGACCTTCTAAGAGTTTTTCCAAATTATCTGTAATTATTGCGTGTTCTAAAAAGATAAAATTTTTGCATTTAGAATTTGGAATGAACTTAACATTGAAACTTTAGAATCTTCTACCAACTACTAAAATAGTTTCACAAAATCTGGTCTGGATAATCGGCATCAAATAAAAAATTTGTCAGTTAAAAAAAAGTTTTTTAAGATTTGCAGCACAGGTGAACTGGTGAACAATTCAGGTATTTGTACCTTAAAATGTAAGCGATTTTTTAAATGCTATATTTTTTTTAGCTGAAAGCTATTGAACAAAAGAAAAATCTTCAGAATCCCTAATGATCATTTAAATTCTTTGGAAGGTAGTTGTTGTACTTACACTTTTTAAATTTTGGTTTACTCTAAATTTTAAAATAATTTTAAAAATCTAGACTAACTTTTAAACATAAAAATTTTAGATATAATAAATTAAAATGTCTCAAATAAATTGGGTCATTTTATGATTTGATCATCTATTCAAATTGGCACAAAATGTTGCAATACAGATGAAAATAATTATTATTACAGTTAAAAGCGATTATATAAAACTTAGATTTTTTCTCAAAATCTCTAATTTTTTTCAAAATGTCTAATTTGTGCATGTTGCTTTATTTCTATGGAAAAGGATCACATAAACTTATTAAAGGGACTCCCGAACATAAACTTATTAAAGGGACTCCTGACCATAAACTTATTAAAGGGACTCCCGAACATAAACTTATTAAAAGGACTCCCGAACATAAATTTATTAAAGGGACTCCCGAAGTACAACTTCATATTTAAATTTATTTTGGAGAGAACATGATGTAGAAAAAAAGTGGTTTGTCCCAAAAACATTTATAATTCTTGCAAAACAAATTTATATGCATTGAACAGAGGTGAAGAACAGAGGGGCGAAGAACAGAGGGTGAAGAACAGAGGGGCGAAGAACAGAGGGTGAAGAACAGAGGGGCGAAGAACAGAGGTGAAGAACAGAGGGGCAAAGAACAGAGGTGAAGAACAGAGGGGCGATCAATATTTAATGATAGGATTGAGAAGTTATCTCAAATTAACAGACAAAAACTCATAAGATTATCTGATATTAGTGAAATATCTCAAATTAACAGACAAAAACTCATAAGATTATCTGATATTAGTGAAATATCTCAAATTAACAGACAAAAACTCATAAGATTATCTGATATTAGTGAAATATCTGAAGTGATCATAACAAATAATAAAGATATCGTTAATAAAATTGTTAAAAATCGTGCTTTTCTACAATAGATACGATTTCCTTAAACAAATTTAAAATATTGTATAAATTAAATATTTTAGTTAATAAATTATTTCTTCAATTATTTAGAAAACAAAAAAAAATATAATAATTTTAGCATAGAATCTATGCTAGTCAATGCATAGTTTAGGATAGTCAGTGCATAGTCTATTAGATATCATTAAATATTAGTGTATTATTTTTTTTTATGTTTTACAAATATAATAATATCAGAGTTTTTCCTACTTTAAATTTCTATTTAGGCAAAGGAATTTCTCACTTTTGCTGTAGGAGTGAAGTTGTAAAAAACCAAATTATGTTGGCTGAAGGTCTTGAAAATGTACCCCATGAGCAAGTTGCTTCTGGGATTCTCAAAATAAAAATAAAAAGAGACAATATTAAACCTGGAGACAAGTTTCCTTTAAAAACCTTTGGAAACAATCTTCTTATTGTTGCTGGAACACCTGATAATAAATGTAACAGAGCATTTGTTAAAAAGTTATCTCTAGAAACTATAATGGAAATCTCTAATATTCTAAACCTGAGTAAAAGAAAGACTAAGCTAATTTGTAAACATATGTGACAAATTTTAGGGAAGAAAATTTTAGAACCTAGTATATCAACTCAGATAGAGGAGCTGTATAATGTATTTCAAACTTTTATGATATCAAAACTGAATCATTCATTTCAGAGAATGAAGAGATAAGTCGCAGTTTGTTATTTGTAAAAGATACTTTTGATTTAATTCTTTGTATGATTATTGAAAGAGGTTCAAACCCTTTTGAACCCTGCACTATTGCTAGGATTTCCATTGATGGTGGACAGGGTTTTTCTTAATTGTGTTATAAATATTTTTGATCCACTATGTATTCATACAATTTCAGAAAGTATTGATGATTCTGGTTTAAAAAGATCATTGGTTTTGGCTTTAGTTGAAGATGTTTCAGAGCATAATGGTAATCTTAGCAAACTATTGAAACCGCTAGCTCTGAGTGATGTAAAATATTCAATAGCATTTGATCTAAAATGTGGTTGTGATCAATGTTGTAACTATGTAAACTCTTTATTTGGTTTAAGCAGTCACAGCGGCAAGTATGCATGTCTTTAATGTGAAGAGGGAAAATATTCTTGAGAGCGGAAAAAAAAGTACCTTAGGTTCCATTGATATCAACTACAACAAATTTGTTGAAGATGGATGCAAAAAAAATCACATGATGGAATCTGCATCTTCATCTTCTGGAAAAGTTTAACTACCAATTAAATATTAGCTGGAAAGTTCATATTTTAGTATGTCATTTTGTTCCTTTTCTTCAGCGTAGTCAGTTTGGGCTTGGTGTATATGCCGAGCAGGCAGGAGAAAGTACTCACCACTATCAAGTATAGAAGCAATACAAGTGTTGCTAGGAACGCAATGATTTTGCAAAACAGCTTAAGAAGTGTGATTGAGTTTGGTATAAACAGTTTCAAGTAGTCTTTTTGTCTCCTTTTTTAAAATTTTTAATTATTGTGAACTTTGAAATGAACAAATTATTTTATAAGGAATTTTATATTAAACTGTTACATTTATTGCATTGACGTTATATTGTTAACTCTGAAATTTATCTCAATTTTATCATAAAAGATCACATTTTTTCATTTCAAAGTTGTATTCTTTTAACAAAAACTGTTTTAGAGGTGTAATACCCTATTAACTTTGAAAAAAAATCCCCGTTCTCCCCATGTTACCCCCTCCCCCTCCATATGTTATTTTAGGTAAAAACTATTTTTACAAAAAAAAGTTTAAAAGTTAGTTTAGATTTTAAAATATATTTTAAAACACTTACCTAAACCAAATATTATAAATTAAACAAAAAATATTAGAGCAAACCAAAATTTACCCTTGCAGTCTCAGGAGAACACAGTGAGCAAAAAGCCTAATTTAAGATTTGTACCTTAAAACGTAGGTTTGGTTTTATGGTAACAATATCTGTTTAAAATGTTGTCAATTTCATTATAGCTTTAAGTTAAATTTAAGCAATAGATTGTATAAATGCCACTCAGATTTTTAGCTGTAGGTTTATTATAAAAAAATGCATGGTCAGTAATTATAAAGAAGACAAAAATTATAATTTAAGTTACTCCAAATGCATTTTAATCTTGTTTTTACAGTTAAAATAGATTAAAATGAGACCGAAGTTCTCAAAAACAAAATATTAAGCTGCTTCTTACATAAAAAAAAAAAAGTTAAACAAAAAGAATATTAAAAAGAGTAAACAATGCAGAATATTAAAAAAACAAAACAAAAAAACTTTCAAATTGATTAAACAAGCAAAAAAAGGGGAAAATTCAAATCAGTTAAACAAGCAAAGAGGTGGGGGAGGGGAGATGATTACTCCCTCCCCTTATGTATTAACATATATAACACAATCTGCTGTTTGAAAACAAACAAAGTAAATTGAGCCTAATAGACAACCTGTTTTAACTGGAAGCTGGTGGAAATGTTTTAGCTGGAAGCTAGTGGAAATGTTTTAGCTGGGAGCTGGTAGAAATGAATAGTTCATCTAGCTTGAAATTGTCATTCAGTTTGAGTGTTAAAAGAAATAAAAGCTATAAATAAGCACCAAAAATACTTGAGGGAAAAGCTATCGGTTAATAAGTTGTTATCGGGAAAAGCTAATGGGTAATAAGTTGTTATCTGGAAAGAGTTTAAAATATCTTTACAGCTCAATGAAAAATAAAATCAATAATATTTAAAAAAGTTTAGAAGTAATGCTAATTATTGTTTTTTTACTTGTTTTCTATAATTAGTTTTCATCACCCCTCTGATCAGCTCTTGTACACATTTCATATCAAATTCAATCAAAAATTATTCATTTTTTTATTCTAGATATTTACTTATCACCTATTAACAAGAAAAATCAGTGCAATGGTCAATTTTAAAATTTGCTATAAATAACTTTGGCTCAGTTTTAAGCAGTAAAACTGAGCAAATGAGACTTATTTGGACTAATTTATGGAAACAATAAATTTGTTTAAAAATATATTTTTTGTAAAATTTTGTAACTGTATTTTTTTATAAAACTAAACTCATTTACCTTCAACTCAAAATGAAAATTTTAAGAGATAAACATTTTTGAGAAATTTTCTAAAAATGAATTGTGTGCAATCCTGCAAAAAGTCTTTATTTTGAACCTTTTGAATTATATATAGTTTAGTATAGCTTAACCTATATATAAATTATATATAGTTTAGTATAGCCACTATAATGTCTTTTGGAAGTAACGAATGATATTTATAAAAACAAAATAAAATAGTGTGGCAAACTCAAAATTTTTATGTCAGATTTATAGAAATATTCAAGTTTCTTTCTATATACTATTAAAAAAACCCAGCAAAAATCAACTCAATTCTTTCTGATTCCTTTTGTTTAAATAATAATTTTTAAAGTTTTAGGACAATTATCTTTTTATTTGAGCTTTTTGTGTGAATACTTAAAAACTGCATCAGATTTTAAAGCATCACTTTAAAATTTAAAACAAAATTTCTCTTTTTTTTCTATGGCAGTCCAAAGTTGAAAACTTTTTTAACTGATCAACTTTTTAAGCCGAATTGTTGTTTCAAAGAGTTAAAATATTTAATTATAGTTTTTTCTTTTGAAAGGGTCATTTTAAATTGAGAAAATTAATTGCAGTTTTATTTTCAAAACATTTATTTTTTCTGTTTAAATTGCTGTATAATAAACATTTTAATTTCAAACAATCGTTTTAAATTTAAATGATTAAATGGAGAGGCATCAGCAATTTTTACCAATTTAAAAAAGTACCTTAATTTAACCTTAAAAGAATTATGTGCAAAGTCTATCCAATGAAGAAATGTCCAAATGAAAAGGTTATTCTTTTAACTAAAAATAATCTTTTATCTGTAATACATTTGAAAGTAATACACTTCTATTTGCGATTTTCAGATTTTACTCTACTGTAACAGTTTCATTTATAGCAAAGCACAGTCTGGCCACTCAAATTTGAAAACAAAATTCCATGACCTTTCATGAATCTTTATAAATTTTCATGATAATTTGCTTGGGTAAAATATCCAAAGCTTGCCATGCACTTAGTCTTTACCACATGGTCACTAAAAAACATGGAGACCAAAAACTAATTGCTAGAAAGTTACAAATTTATATGCGAAAAAAATTATTTCATATCTTTTTTGAAAAGGTCTTAGACAAGACATAGTTGTACTTTTGTTTGCAAATATTTTAAAAACTTGTAGAAACAAATAAAAATCATTTAAAAAAAAGTTCGATAACTTTCAATAAAAATTTAGAAATTGCATAACTTTTTCCATGACCAAATAAAATTCCATGACATTTCCATGATCTCCATGACAATTGGCAAACCTGCATGAAATTTTTTACCTACAATCAGTATTGGAGCTGTGGTGCTAGTTTTAAATTCAAAAGATCTGGGCTTCCTGCTTTCAACAGTGCTTACAATTAGATCTGCTTGTAGGATTTTAAATACTAAATTAAAAAACTCTTAATCATCTTCTGTTTTCAGTAAAGAGGGGGGGGGGGGGGGGGGAGAAGAGAGTGTGAAACCTTTAAAACAAATATTTAATATTTTGGTGTTTTTGAAACACTAAAATATTATTAGATAAATATCAAAAGCTGTTGATTAACATAAATTTTAAGTTTGTGAAGAAACATATTTTTGGATATTAGTGATCTCAAGTTTTGACAAAATTAATTGAGAAGTTATTAGCTCAATAATAAAGGGTTAGCTATTTTCATTTGAAAAAGCTAACAATACTTGCCATTTAGGAAAAAAAAATTAAAATATATAAGTTTGATTCTTATCATTTATTAAAAGTAAAAAAAAGTCAAAAAATAAAACAAAAAAAATATATGTATAATAAATAAAGTACTATTAAATTAAATAAACAAATAATAATAAAAATTTATAAAAATAAAAATTTACTTTAAATTTAGATTCTTCTTATATTAGGAATTTTCCATAAAGTGTGTATGCATTTACAGGGAAAGGAGTATGAGGAGGAGAAGTGAGTAGGGTACAATGAAAGCATTTGCATTGGTACATTTTTACAAAAAACGTACCAATGTATATGTTAACACAAGGGTTATCATCTGATATAATATTAACATAGGGTTGTCCAGCATACAGATGTGTAGAAAAGGGGAGGGAATTATGAGTTTGAGTAAGTTTATAAATTATTTTTTTGTTTACCTTTTTCAATTTTATACTTTAGTATATAAGTATTATTTGTTAACAATTGTTTTATATTTTTCTAGTTCATGATTTTTGTTTGATCAAGTCTTGATCAAACAAAATTTTTTGATCAAAAAAAGTCACAAAATCAACAAAAGATTTTGTTGATTTTGTGACTTGCTCTAGTCATTTTGAAGATAAATTTATAAAAATTTAACAATAAAATTGCGTACAAGTTGGCAAAATAAATATATATAAAAAAAAAATCTACGACAAATGGATGTTAAGTTGACAAATTTAAACATGAAAACTAAAAAAAATGTAAAAGCTTGCTTTAAAAACATTGAGCATACTATGTTTAAGGGTTTGTGTTACAATTATTTGTAATATTCTTTAACTTTTGTTTTGTAATACTTTTCAACTTTTGTTAGTATAATGTGACTACATAAATAAAATCTGAGATCTTAAATAAATTAACTTATTCAAAGTTTAAATTTAATTTTTTAAATTGAAATAAATCTTTTTTATATATATATATTTATTTTAATGCTCCAAGTAGATCAAAAAGTTACAGAGCACTGCAAAACAGCATCAGACTAGAATATTTATGCTATCTTCTTTATCTACTAGCTATCACCTTTATCGATGGTACAAAGTATTTGCATTGAACTCTAGATCTATTGCTTCGAAAGCAAAAGCTTCAAACCATGGTACGGCTGCTACAGCCTAAAGATTATTTCTTTTTTCAAAAACAATCAGAAAAAAAAAATTGATGGCATATTTCATTTTCAACATGTAAACAAAAGAAGGTTAAATTTAAATAATTACATTTTCAAATGAAAACAAAACGTGACAAAAGTTTAAAAATTTAAATTATTTTAAGTTATTTAAATTGCGATTTAGCAGCAATTTATATACATATATTTTTTTTGTTAAATCATCTCCCAAGGCCAAGAAGGCTACTACAGACGCAGAGGCTACTAAATTGTGGTTACAACCCTTCCTCAACTCTTGAACTCCAAAACACGAAATTTGACAAACAAGGCTGCTGCGCAGAGAAACAAGTTGAGCCTTATTCAACCAGGGATGTGGTGCGAATCAAAATCAGAAATTCTCGCTTATGAAGTGAGCCCTCTATCACTACAACACTACCACGTGATGTAACAATTTTTAATAAAAGTTTTTTTGAACAGACAATTTACTTATTTTAGTTGCACTTATGCTTTATTAAAAGTGGCAGCCATAAAAAAAAACATCCGTAAATTAAACATTCATAGTAATAAAATAAAAGTCTAGGTTTCCATAACATAATTAGTTAATTATGCTGCACATTAATGTCAATAAATAACAATATATTATCGTCAATTTTGTAACCCATCGTGTTTATTGCTTCATCTAATACATGAAAAGTTATTATTGTGTTGTCTTGTAAATCACTTTCTTCCTATAAGCAAGATTATTTCATTATTTTTTTGGATTAAAATCTTTAAATTAAGTGAAACAAAATCAATAAAAAATTTAAAATAATAAAAATCATTCATAAGCTACAAATTTTGCACTAAAAATTTAAAAAATTCAAAAAAAAATTACAAACAAAACAGCAACGATAGCTAATCTGCCTCCAACTACCTGGTCCCAAAACTTTAATTTTACCTAAAATTATAAATTTTATCTATACCAAAATAATAATTGTACCTATATTTATAAATTTTATCTAAGTTTTTACTTTAATATTCATTAAAAGTATTTTTTTTCAGACTTTATTTTTGCCATTAATTTGATGTTCAGATCCTCTATCTGACTCGCATCCAAAGTGAAATGTAATTTCATTTAAAAAATAACTATTATTATGACCAGGTGCTTTTAATTTAATTTGATGAGTTGGAATTAACAGCTTGAGATAGTTACGAAAATTATCCATATAAACATCAGCTGTTTCAGCTGGTGGAAAATCTATAGTAACAGGACTCTAATCGGCCATCCTTGTTGCCTCATGAGTGTTAATATTTAATGGTGATTTGCAAAACAGTCTGGGAACCTTTTAAACCAGTTTTGTGGTCCTATGTGTAAAATAGTTTGGCCATGAATATAATTTGCTGTATAAAAATATTACTTTTTTATCTATTCAAAGTACAACAAACACAAATTACCTAATGGACGAATAAGCTATCAAAAGTCTAGCAAGACGTTTTTTTCCTTTTTTAATACCTATAAATGTATATTGTAAAACAAATAATCAACAAAAGAAACAAAAAGAAAAGTAATTAAAAAAAAATATTGTGGCTAGCGTATGGGTACGGTTGCTTTAATCTTTTATCTTAAAGTCATGGCAGTAACTTTTGATTGGTTTAGTTTAAGTCATGGCTGCGAATATTATTGGTTGATTTTAAAAGTTTTATTTGTACAAATTTAAAAAGAATCTCACTAATGGTATCTCACTTAATCATTTTCAACAGTAATCCGGGATCGAGTCCTTCACTTGAAGAAATGTTCTTAAATGTTTTTAAACAATTTTTTATTGAAAGTTATTATTATTGTTGTATATTAAAAGCTACTTAGATTTTTATTATTTACATACATCAACTGATATAGAGGTAGGCGCAGTGAGTGTACATACATCCACTGACTTAGGGATAGGTGCAGTAAGTCTACATACATCCACTGTTTTATGGATAGGCGCTGTGAGTATACATACATCCACTGATTAAGGGATAGGCGCAGTGAGTGTATATACATCAACTGATTTATGGATAGGCGAAGTAGAGCACACATACATCGACTGATTTAGGAATAGGTACAGTGGAGAGCATATACATCGATTAAAGGTTTTGATTTGCGCATGCATTCTTTAAATAAAATTAAAAAAAATCAACCAATAAGACACCACTACCATAACTTTAGGAAAAAAATTTGAGCAACAGTACTATTGTGAGCAAGAGCAAAAAAAAAATATTGAATACCTATTGTAAATAATAGCATTGAATAATGTAGAATATATTTAACTGAACAGATTTACTTTTTTTTAAAAAAAACAATTGTTAAATAATTAATTAACTATTATTTTTATCTACTTTGGGTCCCC